CCGTGCATTTTATTGGCCGCAAAAATCACGTGGTAGGATCCAGTTTTTCCTCATTCATTTTTGTATTTTGACCGGACATGATTGTCTACGTTCTCATTCATTTCGCTTCAAGCTGACTTCTTCATCAGATTGTCTTTTATGTAACTAGTCACATAAAAGTAGTCACATAAGTCACATAACTAGTCACGGCCAAGCCATGACTGCTGCGCATTTGGACACGCGCTCTGCACTAAAAGACTTTGACTGTATTGTTAAGAAGTACTGGAGAGCTAGAAGCCTAATGATCTAATAGTCAATGGCTGACATTTGTTTAATAATTTTCGTATTGCTTTGATCGTCATCAGCATAAATTTAATAAAAGTCATAAAGGTATTGTTTTTCTATAAATATTTTCGTATCCCTAATTTAAAGTTATTTTCCCGTACTTCTATTATTACGCTTTTAAATCAAAGGTTTAAAACTAAGAGAATTGATTTTTTTAAAATTATTTTTTTATTATTATAATGCAATTCTGCCCTGCATTTTAAGATAAAGTAATTTAGAAAGATCGTCTAATCTTGTTAACCGTTTTACAATTACTGTTTTCGAGCAAATAACATTAATAAACTGTTATAAATTATCAGTTAAAGAGATCTGTAAAATGTTTTAAAGCCTAACGATCAGCTTCATGCACAATATTTAACATATCCACCCGTTTGGTAAGCTGAAATATTAAATTACGGACATAAACTCATCAAATTTGTTTGAATAATATAATGTTATAACAATATAAATGTTATTTTAGAAAATGATTACTTAGAAAAATTACTTTTGCTCACCAAGAGATCTAAATGTTTTTAATACTAATAGATTGTAATATTTGGACGTGGTAAGTGATGGCACAAGCGTAAGCAAACATAATTCCTTTTAGTACATATGTTACAGGCAAAGTATGAAATCCGGCATTATATAGCATGCCTAGGCATTCTATATAATGCCTAAAACTCGCCGGCAAAGTATGAAATGATTTATATTTCACACATTGCCTTGGCATTCCAAAGAATGCCAAATGAGAAACCGGCAAAGTATGAAATAAACGTCCTGATGAGGTTATTATGTAAATGATGTGTATGTTACTGTGAATTAACGAAATCGGTGGTTGTTGGTGAATGTCCGAATGTCCTTTGGTGAATGTCCGAAACATTTATTACATCCGATTTGATATTAATTTATTCGTGGATATAATTACATTTATTCGACATTTTAATACTTACTGACGATAGATTAAAAGAAACATCAGTGGTTGGAGTATCGGGCAAATATACACCGGGCAATGGCACTGAACCTTAAAATAAAATCAGTGTNTTTTTTCTTTTTTTTTTTTTTTTTCTTTTTAAAACATTAAAAAATTTATGTCACTACCTTCGGGAACCCCTTTTTTTAAATAAATAAAATTTTCATGAAACACACATATTTTTTATTTGGGGTATAAACCTAGAAATTTAAATTCAATTTCAATGAAATAGGCGACCAGGTAAATATATACAGGGTGTCCCGAAACGGCCGCATAAACTCTGCACAGCTAGATTCCTCGTTGGGTGTACATAAAAACTGCCCAAAGAAGCGTTCCTGTGCGATCCATAGTTTACGAGAAAAATACGAAAAACAAAGTTTGATTCGGAAAAGAAGGATTTGGAAATTCCAGGTTTTACAACTTGTAACTTTGATTCAACCTTCTCTGTAGTAGGAATCAAATAAGCTGGCTTTACACGGTCTATGGACACACTAGATTACCTACCATTTAGTTGAATTGTAAGGTTTTTAGGTGACCGTTTCAAAACCATATGTGAACCTGTATAGGGTTGACACAAGGGATGTTTTGCAAAATCCACTCTTCAAAACACGTGAGAACAAGTGCTCAGTGAGGGATTTACGTAAAATGCAGTTCGTCCATCCGCCGATGTTGCAATTGGATTCAATTCACGCATGGTGTTTCTAAGACGATCAACAAAAATGTCATCACATGGTGAAATGATAGATGTTTCTAGCATGTCGCTTGGAAGTTGAAGAGTTGTTCCATATACCAGTTCGGCACACGATGCGTAGATATCCCCCTTTACTGTAGTGCGAATTCCTAAAAAGACTACCTGGAAGTACTTCTGTCCACTGTGAGTTTTCATGCACTTTTATTGATGATTTTAAGTGGCGGTGAAATCTTTCCACTATGCCATTTGAAATGGGATGGTGTGCTATCGTACGAATTCGGTTTGTACCCAACATTTCGGAAAACTAAAGTAAATTCGTTTGAACAGTGTAATGTTATAACAATATAAATGTTACTTTAGAAAATGATTACTTAGAAAAATTACTTCTGTTCACCAAGAGATCTAAATGTTTTTAATACTAATAGATTGTAATATTTGGATGTGGTAAGTGATGGCACAAGCGTAAGCAAACAGAATTCCTTTTAGTACATAAATGTCGAGTGAATAATTTAAATTCTAGTTACAAATCTGTTTTCAGCCAAGAAACAAAAATTATTGTAAGGCCATCATCGCGGTTGGTGAGCTGGACCGAAAAGGGGGCTATGCCTCCTAGTGTTAAATAAAAATAGAAACTGCTCAAACTGCATTACTCCACGTCATCCCACTTTCTTGAAAATGTGATAGAAACTATGATTAACTATCCCTTTTAAGAAGGCACGACATTTTCTGGACAAGGGAGTGACGTCCTCTGAAATGACAGATTATGCTGGTAACGTCATCCGATGAAAAAAATGCATTTTCTGAAAGTGATATTGAAGATGGGGAAGGAGAAATTACGGAAGGAGAAATTCTTCTCCAAGTGGTAGGCGGGAATCGCAGGAGATTTGTAGCGCTTGTCAAAAGGACTGTTTTGGTGGAAATGACAAATTTTTCTGTCGGGAGGAATGCTTTTGCGCAATTGTATCATTTTGTGTTGAATTTGAGGACAGTATAGATACAGTGAAACAGAATAGATACAGTAAGAGTGACGGAATTTATATTTTAGTTTATTCTCATGATTTTTCGAAGCTCCTACGCCAAGGAAAATAAAAGATTTTAAGCAAAGCTATAATTAAAGCTTTAGACTTTCAGCAAAGCTATAATTTTAAATTATCTATGTCATCTTGCCGTAAAGAATTATCTGGTCTTAGAACGGTCAAAAAACTAAAATAGTTTAAAAATTATGAAACTTTTTTAAAAAAATCGCCAGTTTGGAGACTTATTTTGCAATTAGATAAAAATTATCAAATTCAATGCCTTATTCTCATTTTTTGTAAATTTTTATGAGCTAAGTGAGATAATGTAGTATTGGAGTAAGTTTTTAAATATTAAAAAATTAGACCACAAGTGTTTTTCATTTTGTGTGGTTGTTATATTTGAAGATAGAATGCCGACAGTGAAACAGTGATAGAATTTATATTTCAGTTTATTCTAATGTTATATATGACCTTAACAAGTTAATTTGGAGCTCTTTCCCGAAGAAAAAAACAAAAACAGCAGCGACAAAAATAAAAAACGCTACATGTCAAGTACCTTACACTTAACTCAATTATCAATTGATCACTGTAAGTGCTGAACTCATTTATAGGAGGGACGGCTGGGGAAATTTTAAATATTCTTTTAAAACTTTTTTTAAAATTCTTTTAATACTTTCTACTTAATCTTCAAAACTAAACTTATGGAGATATATACTCTATTCGATACAAAGCTATCACTCTAAAATCACTATGTAAGTTGTGCTGTATGTCAGATAACCTATTCATATTTTTTGTTGATCAAGTAACACTAATACAATTCCGTAATCAGCAGTTTTTGAAAGGTAGTTCAGTATTATATATTTGTCTACTTTAGATTTTTGATAAATATATATTTCTATATATATTACGTAAATTACGTTAATATTTTTTTGGTATCATGCAAATTAGTTTTCATTCCTTTGTACTGCGATTAAATTAAATTTTAAAAAAAATCTAAAATTAGACTAATTCTATTTTTAAATTACTTATTCAAAACCAAAAATTTAATTGCTTTTCATTTTTGAGGAGAAAAAAATGTATGGAAAACTATCCAGCACTGTTTCTTCTACTCTAACAACCCCCTTTATTTTAAATCTTTATTTCTTATTTTATTTAATTTATTATCTGGTTATTTATTTGAAAGTTATAGTGTTGTCAAACGCAAATAACACTCTGTTATCAAAAGTTTGTTAAATGCACTTTAAAAATTTTTGGCACATAGTTGCCACCATTTTTGACGTTGAGGAAAACTCGAACTTTTCACAGTGCCGTAACATTTTTTATTTGCTTTTTATTATTGTAGTTTTATTTATTCATTTGTTCATTATTTGTTTGTATCGTTTACAAACAACACATGTTTTCACGCGCATTCGAATCAATATACTGACTTCGCTGCTAAAACATTTCGTTTAAAGAACAAGTGCAGTTTCAGTAATATATTCGCAATTATTCTTGTAAGTAATTGTTATTCTGCAAATTTTAAATTAATTTTTTTCTTGATAACTACAGTTCTGTTCGTATAAATGTATTTAGTTTACCTCAGCAAAAAAAAAAATAGTGGTAACAATGGATTAAAATTTTTGACAATATGCAAAAAGGGAAAGAAAAAAAAAATCATCAAGAAAATACAAATCAAAAATCTAACTATAAATCCAAGATGGCAAGAAAAAAAAAACTACTTAATAATTTTCTATGTGTCCTCATTTTTGAAAAGTATAGTGCTGTCAAATGAAACTGTATCATTAAGAGTTTGTTAAATACAAAAAAATCAAGAAAACGCGAATGAAAAATTTAACCATAAATCCAAGATGGCACGAAAAAACCACTTTATTTTTCTATGTCTCATCACTTTTGAAGGGTTTAGTGGCGTCAAATGACCCCCTATCATCAGAGGTTTTGTCAATGTAAAAAAAAAAAATCATCAAGAAAACTGAAATCAAAAATTTAGCCGTAAATCTAAGACTAATACAAATCAAAGAGGGCGAGAAAAATGTCATTTAATATATTACTATGTTGCATCATTTTTGAAAGGTATAGTGCTATAAAATGGCACTTTTTCATCAAAAGTTGGTTAAACACAAAAAGAAAAAAAAATCGTCTAGAAAACGCATATCAAATACTTAACAATAAATCCAAGATGACTACGAAAAAAGCCACCCAACTTCCCATTGCCATGTTTTCATTCTTGAAAGTTATAGGGCCGTCAAATGACATTCTATCATCAAAAGTTTGTTAAAAAAAAATGATCAAGAAAATTCAAATCCTAAATTTAACCATAAATCTAAGATAATGAGAAAAAATACTATTATGATTATTTCATAATTATTATTAGACCATTATTCATATTTTTTAACGTATAATGTTGTCAAAGAAAGTCACATTTATAAAGGAAGCACAAAACCGAAGTTCTGGCCTTAGTACCAAGTTTTCCATAACAAGGCCCTTTGCCGTAATTTTTTTGCTTGTAAAGGGTAAAAGCTTGGCAAACAAAGATTCTGTTTATTAAGGGTAAACGATTCCCTATCAAATTTGTGTTATGACTAACTTCAGGTAAATTTAGTCAGTTGCCGCAACCCATAAAACCTGGATTGATCCACTGCTTGATATAATATTATGGGTCCTGAGAGACTCGGTTCACGCATCCCTTGAATTATGCAAATAATACCTTGTTTTTTTTCTTCAAGAGATACTTATATACAAGAAAAGTTTCAAGAAATAAAGAATTTAAAGCAAAAATTAAAATAAACAATGATTGAAATAAATAATGTACATTATTTTTAAATGGCATAGCAAGCGGGCCTCCGATGGTTCTGCATCTATAGCCTCTGTAAATCTAAATGGGGGCCAGTGTCTGACTTGAATATATCTCAAATCATACAGAATACATATCATTTAAAATTTATAAAAAAAATGAGATTGTTCATATATATTAATAATCAGTAAGGCATACTGTGGAAATTTATTTCAAATATTTGATTACATCTTATAAAGAAAATTATTATTTTCACCCTCGATTATAAAGAGTTTAATTTAGGAAAAATTAGGCTCTAATAAACATCGTATTCAAAATCACTCAGTCACACCATATACTTTTTTTTATATAAATGTTAATAGATGGCAGCACCAAAATGTAAAATTGTAATAGCTTTTCAGTTATTTCTAATACTTTGATTTTGTATGACTTGTACAAAGAAGAGTTGTTCATTTTAAAGAACCGTACATATGTTATAGCACTTAATGAAACGGAATATCACACAACATCCCAGTAATCAGATGTTTGATTTTATGGAAAAAATTATTCAGTGAAAAAAACATATCACGATCAACTTTATGATCTTTAAGAGATGGCAGCACCATAGAAAAAGTCATCACATGCTATCAATAACATTGCGCGTTGTTGGAAAATTTATTCTACAAGTGTAGTAATTTATTAAAAACAGTTTTCACTGAAGTGTATCAAAATCAAATATCTCATTCTGTAAGGTTTACCAATATTTTCTCATTGAGTTAAAAACAAAGGAACAAGTAACCAAAATGAGAATTTTTAATTTCTGTGTTTTAGAGTTTAATTGTTTCTAATTTGACGAAAAAAATTAATTAAAACATTAGTGATATATAATTTAGTTTGAAAGATACTAAAGTTCAAGTTTTCATCAAAAAAATAAAAGAAATTTATTTTTGGGAAGCAAGCTATGTGCGTTATTAAACGATATAACTAATAAATTGAGTATTTTTGTCGAATTTCTGGAACATATTTTATGAATGCTGGCTGGAATTCCGAGCAGACGTTATCCATAAATTTCGTCACTGGGGACCAGATTTCTTTTTCAAATTCAACAGTTACTTTCCCACAATTCTTACCAATTTCATTCTCAGCACATTTATAGCTGCTTTGATAAGCACTGGAATGAGAGGGAAAAAAATAAATAAAATTACAATTAAAAATTGAAAATTAAATTAACTAAATACAATACATTTTTTTATTTGACATGCACATAAGTAATATATATACAATATACTCACGATATATCTCGAACTTCGACTTCTCGAAAACTTTGTTTTGTCAAAAAAATATTTTTTACCTTGATATTTATAAGCACCCAATATTAATTTGAATATGTCGAAGGGTTTCTTTTCAAAACCTTGTTAGGTCAATTTTTTTTTCGAAATAGAAACTGAATTTTTTTTTTTTTAAAAATAGTAGAGTAATTGTAAATCAATTATTTTTCACTTGATGCATAATTATTTTTTTCTACTACTTTCTCTTCTACTTGATGCATAATTATCATTATTGAACTTAGACTTATAGTCAACTATCAATACATATATATTCATTAGTAATTATTCTTATGCTTCTGTCTCTACTTTTTATAGTAATATTTTTTAGAATATATTTTTTTAGTTTTTTGAACGCATTTAGTTCTGAATTTGTTATTTCTAAAACTTGCTATCTTGAAATTCTTTTAAGTTTCCTTTCGAGCTATCGAGAGTATAAATTTAAGTATGTAGGCATGCAGGTAAATATAAATTTAAAATTAATGTTAAACATTTTAATTTAAAAATTTAATTTACTGAAGATAATAAAAGGAAATTAACATAATAACTTACAGAATCACAGGTGTTTCCTTTATCATATATTTATATGAATTTTGTAAACAAAATTAAAAATAAGTACATATTAACCACAATGAATATAATAGGGATCGTAAATTAATATTTAAGAGACGGAAAAAACAACATTATCATCATAAATCTGATAACCAACATTAAAAACTTCGAAACATACTTGATTACCTGAGAAAGTTGAAGTAAAATTTTTATGCATTATAGGTGTCGCAAAATAATATTTAAGAGAGGAATCTGATCAAATTCTGAAGGACCACTATTGAAAAAGATGCGATTAAAAACTTTAAAACATGTTTGATTTGTTGAAATATATTTAACTTGTTTGAAAAAGTATTGTTTATTTGGAAAATTATATACGTCTTATTTATTTTGAAAATTAAAGTGTATCTTAAAATGACTTTCTCAAAATTTTTGTTTCTCAGAATCTGTTTAATTAGTTAAAAAATTTCTATTATTTTACGTTTACTTCACTAATTTTTGCTCACTGTTTTAGCAGGTTATCAAGCAAGTTTTGTTCCCCACTATTGATTTTATAATTTTCATTATTTCTCTCATAGAAATGAATCGAAATTTAAAACTACATTTTAAATAAATACATTCTAAATAAAACTTAATCATTTTAAGTTGGAGATTTTAAGATTGACATTAATAGAAATGGGTTCCTAAAGTGTAGGAGAGGTAAGTTTCGTGAAGGAAACTAACTGAAAATTTCGTTTAACAGTTCGCATTACATTAATTAATCAATAAAAGAAGCATTTACAAAAAATAAAAAAATTCAAAAGAAAAAAAAATGGATGTTTTCACAATTTTAAAGTAGATGGCAGCACTAATGATATTGACTCTACTTTGTTACTTGCTTTTATATAGGCTGAATATTGGCTTTCAAATTCGTTTAATTTTGCTATAAAAAAAGGAAATTCCTACACTCACATTTTCGTGTGAATTGCTTCCGAAAAGTTCTTTAGCATGAGTGAATTGCAAGTAATTTAAATTGGTTAGATTTTTTGTGCTGCCATCTATATTTCTTTAGTCAGTCTATCTTAAGAAATCAACAGAAAATCAAAAGCATCAACGAAATAATTATTTATTGTTAAAATTCCACTTACTCGCAGTGATTTTTGTTGAAAACTTCCGCTTCTTCAAACTCTAAGAGAGCTCCACACTTTTTCTCCGTCTTTTTTCGGTGTTTATTTATACATTCTGCGTTCGCCAAGTATTCTAAAAAAATAAAAATAAAAATTCCAGACATTGTTTTTTGCTATTAACTGTTTTAAAATAAGATTTTTTTCAAAATATTAAACCGTTTAAAAAGTTCATTACATTCAACTATTCAGATTGCGCGATACAAAAGAAAATGCAATTTGTAAATGCTTGCTTCCCAAAATATTTAGTTAGTAAAGTTGCATAATAAGATAAAGGGTTAGTATTGTTGATTATTTTTTTGGCGTTAGTTTAATAAAATAACTGAACAAATTGCCAAAAAAGCATTTACCATTTTCTTTTTTTCTAATGCTTTTAAATTGTCTCATAGATTAAAAATAAGGTTGGCATTAATGCAATTACATTTCATTTTTAAAAAATGATCTAAACATTAACACATGTAATTAATTATTCATGAGCTTATTTTTCCATCTAACCATATAAATGCTTTGTTTTTCTGAAATAGAATCTCCCAATTTTTCAATAAACATTTTTAGAATAAATTTTTACTTTTTTTAAAACTTGTTTTTATGTTGTTTATTTACTTATAAACGCATAATTGCAGGCCTTTCACACAAATTTTTAGAACTATTAAAATTTTTTAAACACGAATTAATTTTGTATTTCTTAATTAAAAGCGCATAATTACAAGCCGTTTATCGAAATTTTTTAAAAGGATATTTTTTCAAATTGCAACCGTCGGAACAATTTTTTTACTACAAACATATAATTCTAAGTCTTCATGTACTCTTTAAGAGTTTTATTTAAATTTTTTAGACGATTTAAATTTGAGTTATTTTTAAACAAAAAATAACATAACTGCAAACATTTTTTGTACATTCAGAAGGATTTTTTTTCTTCTAAAATTTAGGTAGGAATTAATCATGTATTTCTTTTTACAAACAAATTATTGCAAGCATTTCACGCATATTTTTACTACAAGTTATTTTTAAAATTTTCAACTATAGCGAATTCTTTAATTGCAAACGTAATGTAACGTATGAAACGTAATGAAACGTATTGTAAATTTTCATATTAAAGTTCTTTTAATTTTAAAAGTGAATGAAGTTATAATTTCTTAATTGCCAACGCAAAGTTTCAAACTTTTCATTAACTTTAAAGTTTAAAACTTTTATGGTTATTATTATTTTTTTTTAAAAAATTATAAACGTCAAAATAGTTTGCATACAATAATATTTTAATACGAGCACAATTTCAATCTTCACTGTCTCATGCGTAAAAAACTGCTTTCGGTTATAATAAACATTGTTGGCTAGAGGAAAATGAAGTAGCAAGACATCAAACGCCCAGTTCAATTTCAATAGTTATTCTATTATTCTACAAATATTGCACTAGCTATTCTATTATTCTATAAATATAATACTCTGTATTCTATTATTCTATAAATTTAACATTGGTGTTCTAATATTCTATAATCACTGTTGTTCTATAGCACTGACTATTCTATTATGCTATAAACATAAAACTTTGTATTCTATCATTCTATAAATTTAACATTGGTGCTCTAATATTCTATAACCATCACACTGTTGTTCTATTGTTCTATAAACATAGCACTGGTTATTCAATTATTCTATAAACATGACACTGGTGTTCTCTCATTCTATAAATATAAACTTACTCTTTTGAATGGGATCATTTTTATCACATATTCTATTGAACATCTTATATTCTTCTTGAAAGAATACACTCAACCTCTCTAACTCAGAATGTGGGCAGTTGATAGCAAAATCATTCAGACATTTTAGAATTGGCAAACTTTGTCTGCAATGAAGAAAATATCATTTAACGTCATTCAGCCATTATTGGTAAAGAAACAAACACATGAAGGCAACTTACTTGCATTTTTCTAACAATTCTGCCTCATTTTCAGCCATTCCATTTTTTGTTGTCTTATCACCGTCAACCAGGAAGGCACAAGTGACCAATTCTAGTCCTGTACATTTTGGAACTGCTTCAACTGCAGTTTGGATAGCTATAAAATATTATAGGAAAATTAAACGAAAAAAAATTGCTGCTTAAACTACAGTTTGGATAGCTGTAACATATTATGGGAAAATAGAAAGAAAAAAACCACTGCTTCAACTGCAGTTTGGATAGCTATAAAATATCATGGGAAAATAGAAAGAAAAAAAATCGCTGCTTGAACTGCAGTTTGGATAGCTATAAAATATTATGAGAAAATAGGAAGAAAAGTTTGGATAGCTATAACATATTATGAAAAAATAGAAAGAAAAAAAAATCACTGCTTCAACTGCAGTTTGGATAGCTATAACATATTATGAGTAAATAGAACGAAAAAAATCACTGCTTCAACTGCAGTTTGGATAGCTATAAAATGTTATGGAAAAGTGGAAAGAAAAAATCACTACTTCAACTGCAGTTTGGATAGCTATAAAATATTATGGGAAAGTAGAAAGAAAAAATCACTCCATTCTTTCGAAAGAAAGTGTCACATACATCTTGATTTTTGCACTCCCACAAAAAGTCGGAACAACGTCGGGACTTTGAACCATAATATGTAAATTGCTGTAGGCCTAATAATGAGATTAATTGAACAATGTTTCCGTTCAACTCTAATGATAATATTGAGAAATAATTAAGATTTACAATAATGGGGATATTAAGGTTGCATCAAGTTTGCACGATTTTATGGTTCAACACGATTATATATATTTTTTACGAGTATTTGTCATAGACTAATCGAAAAATCTATTTAATAATAAAATCTACTATCTAATCTATTTAATAATATCTAAGCTTATTACAACAGCTTATTTTCCTTAGGCTAATAATGAAATGTGTGAAGTATTACTTAATCCGATTGAATTTTCTTAGGCATAAACTTTTAATAAGGCTATTCAGCCTTCACTGCTCAGTTGCGTTATCATGCTTGGGAAACTTAAAAAATCGGGTATTTCTCTTCTGGTACTTGGCTTGATATTTTACCCTAAATTTCAAATTAATTATTATAAGATTAATTTATAAAGCAACAAAAGACAAAAGAGTAACTTTCCTTGGCACGTCTTTAAGCTATATCGGAAGCTGATAAACGGTAATTTAAAAGCTTGGAAACATTAGATAAAAACAAATTTTTTAATATCTAAATGAAGGGATCATATCAAGTATCACATAAGAGTGATTGTAACTTATTTTTGTTATCAGAGGAACTTGAATAAAGACATTTTCGTTTAAATACGGCAAATGTGGTATAGTTACTCTATAAAAATGTTCTGTTGAAATATGTTTTTTTTTTTTAAATCTTCATCAAGAGTTTGTGGACTTTTTATACACGCTTTTAAATCGATAAAACTAAAATATTATTTACGGAATATGCATTTCTTTGAATCATTATTTTAATTTTTCTGCAAGGAACTGAACAACATGCCTATATTTTTATTTAATTTTTTGAAAAAAATGATAAATAGGAAAAAAATATATATTTTAATTTAGGTATTTTTTAAAAAACTTATAACAAAGAATACTGATTGTAAATTAGAGCAAAGTTTTCATTATTCTAAATAATATAAAATTAATTTATTTCAAATTAGAAGCATGGATTTTTAATTTTTTTTTAAAAATAGAATGTATGTAAACTTATTTATTTATTCTTATTAAATAGGTTTATATATTTGTATCCTTTTTTCACATATATTATTTTTTATAAAATTAGTATGCTTACGTTGTATACTTCTTATTATTGTTATTATTGCTCATTTATTTTCAATAGTTTCAAAAATATGAAACATAATTGCTTTAATTTTTTTAATAGAAATTTTATGATCTTATTACATTGCTTTGTGTATTTCTTAAATGATACCATAGCATAAAAGAAATAAAAAATTTATTTATTTTTTAAAAAGCTCCTAAAATTTTCCCTTGCCTCCCTTAATAGATTTTAGTTTCATAAAATAAATGTGAAAAACCATATTGTCAAAACAAGCCAAGGAACATTTTGGTGATGGTAATAACAAAATCAATTGAGGCTTGTAAAACGTGAACAACACATATTTTAGACGTTTAGTTAAATTTGTTTGCAGAAAATTGAAAAATACATTTTTAACACATGCATAAATGTTTAGAAATTTAATAAAAAAGTGAATTTTTAATGTGTGAGATATTTTAAAAGCTTATAAAAAGAAAATGAAGATTAATTAAGGTATGGATATTTTTTATGCCAAACAATAATAAAAATCTTGTTTGAATAATATGTTTAGTAAAATGGAAAATTAGAATCAAAAATATTTCGAACATTTGGGAACATTTTTGTATATTTATTGTACGTTGCAATAACAGAAAGAAAAATATACGCTCATTTTTTAAGTAAGAGGACCCAAAAACATGAAATATACAACAACAAAATATTCAATATTTCAAAAATTTGTTATGAAAATTATTACCTGAAACGAAAAGTATGAAAAATATGCAACGAAACATTATGGTGGTGGCGAAATAAGACAATTGTCAGCAGTTGTGAAAAGTTCAATAGTATATTTCTAAAATAATATTTGCGTGATAACTGATAACAGCTATTCCAACACCCGTTCAAGACCTAACGATTCACACAGAAAAGGAACATTCGTTTTATGCGTTATTTTATTTAAATTAAATGAAGATTATTGCTTATATTGCGAAAATTTTGATAAAATGAATGCGAAAAATTTGATATTATGAATTTTTTACCATAGAGACAAAATGATCATAATGAAATTAATTTTTAATAAATAATAGCAGAACTCTCATGTACATTCATTTATTTCTTATTTTGTCTCAATAGTTTATTTGTGCTAAGGTTTTGTTAAGAAACCGAGAAACCCAAAAATTGAAAAGAAAAAAGAGCAAAATACAAGAAGTTATAAAAAGTGGAAAAGTTTGAGGCAACATAATGATAAGTCACATTTTTAAATTTTTCAAGAGACCGTTTTTCATAAAAACACAACAATTCCCATTCAAATGTAAACAATATATAATGATTTTTTTAAAAAAAATCATTGTTTGAAAAATCATTAATTATTAATCATCCTTAATCATTACGATTTTTTAAATGATGATTAAAGATTTTAAAATTCATGAATCATCATTTAAAGAAAATCATAATCATTTAATAATAACCAATAAAAATAGTTTAAAAATGTTATAAAATTCTGCAATAAAGAAAAAAAAATTAAAATTTAGTTTAAATTATTGACTGATTAAATTTTTCCTCTAAATTTAAGGGCTTAAAAATAAAGTATTATACTTTTGACTTGCAATTTCTTATTTCAAGTCAGCAACCAATTTCTTAAAATAACTAAATTTACTGTGGAAACAAAACTTGAATAATAATTTATAAATATAATTTAAAAATAATAAACTTAATATTAATTAAATTTTAAATAATGATTTACAAAAATAGTGAAACGAATTAATAGAAACTATTATAAAAATTATTAAAATATTTTACAATTTTACAGCAAAAAATATGTCATCCCCTTAAATGTAAAAACTTGCAAATAACTTTAACCAATCATTTACACTTCAATTAGCAATATGTAAACAACCATTTGCACGAAATTACTAAATCTATTAAAGAAATTGCTAAAACAAATTTTAATCAAAATATTTAAACTGAAATAAGCAATTTTTTATGAAAAATAATTGATTATTTCATTTATAAAAAATAGTAGTGAAATAATAGAAAAAAAGGAAGTTTTAAAAACTTATCATAAGAAGTCATGATATAAAATATGTTTAGAGTTTATGATGATCACTAATTTCACACTTCAAGTAGCAGTTTGTAAACCACCTTTTTGTGAAAGATACTACATTTATGGATGAAGCTAATATTAATTTTAAAAAAATTAGTTAATAAAATAAATATTTTTCTTAAAACTATAAAACTATTATAATTAATTAAAAATAAAAAGCATTCAAACATGATAAAATTTTATGACTTTTAAATCTAGCTTATAAGTAAAAATATTTCAAAACAACTTGTTTAACCACACTTTTAACGTTTCAAGAATAAGTTTGTAAACACAAAAATATCTCTATTTTCCCAAAATCACAAAATCTAAGGTAAAAAAAAATACTTATAAAATTTAACTATTAAAGTAAGTAATTATTTTTGAAAAATAATGAATTACAAAAAAAGAAAAAGAAATGGAATTAATAAAACTTTTTTGCATAACAATATTTATAATAAACTTGGCTTACACCTAACTAAGAAATAACTTCGACTCTAAATTTAACGATAAAACGAGTTTTAATTAAAAATTAATTAACAAAATAAATTATATTATTTTACAAAAAACAACTATAAAAATTATCATAATTATCTATAATAAAAACATTCAAATTTTTATGTCTTTATGAATTACAAATTTTTATGAATAACAAATTTTTATGAATTTTATGTCTTATTTAATCTAGTTAATAATTATAAATACTTATAAATAACTTAAATTATTTGTGAGAATTCATTAATAGAAATTTAACTCTCTTAACATTTCGAGAAATAATTTGTAAACACAAAACAATTTTTATTTTCTCGAAACCGGAAAATCTAAGGTGGAAACATTTATCTTAAAAAATTTAACAATTAAGATAAGTAATTATTTTAAAAAAATCATAATTTACGAAAATAATAGGAAATGGAATTAATAAAAAATATTATAAAAATCCATTAAAATAATTTTAATCTTTATAGCTTGTCCCTAAATGCAAAAAGCTCAGAAATAACTTTGATAACTAATTTCACACTCCAAGTAGGAGTTTGTAAATTACCGATTTCTCTAAGTCATTAAGTTCATGCATCAAATTAATTTAAATAAAAAATAATTAGCAGAGTAATAAAATTAAAAATAATGCTTTTACAAACAAAAATTGTAATAACTAATTATAATAAAATACATTCAAAAATGTTTAAATTTTATGACTTACTAAATCATATAAATGTATATATTTATAAAAAAAAAAAATTCGGACTCCCTTTTAAGATTTTAAGAATTAATTTGTAAACAAAAAACAATTTTTTTTTTCTTCTCGAAACTGCGAAATCACAGGTGGAAATAATTTACTTCGAAAATTTAACTATTAAAATAAGTTATTATTTTCAAAAACTAATAACTTACAATAATAATAAGAAATGATATTAATAAAAATATTATTAAAATTTATTGAAATATATTTAATCTTAATGGCTTGCCCCTAAATGTAAAAACTTAGAAACAACTTCGGCCACTAATTTCACACTTCAAGTAGCAGTTTGTAAACAACCGTTTTCTCGAAACCACTAAATCTACGGTGGAAGCATTTTTATTTTGTTCACGGATTTACGAACCTGATCGTTGTTAGTCGTTATGCATGGATTACTGCAATAACTCACATTGACTAATGCCAAAACATGATGAAGGCGAAGAAGTTAATCCCATGTTTAGAGAGTATCTTTAATCTTGCACATATTTCACTTCTCGAACGCAATGGCTTGTTAAATCTTTACTAAGTTGTAGTCTTCTAGATTTTTCTTTTTAGTGGACAAAGTTTTTATAGTTTATTTTGTTGAAGAAAACTTTAGAAAAATGAAGACAAAACAATCTTCAAATATGCATAATACACGCATATTTGTTTTTGCATTTTACTTATTTTCAACGATCTTCCTAGTTTTAATGTAGAAAAATTAAATATTCATAACAAGTATGTAATTTGTAATTTGCTTTCTTTTCAGCAATCTACCAACAATCTAATTTTTACAATAATAATATCAATCCATTTTTTTCAGTAACCAATTTTCTTACAATGTTGAAAAAAATATTGATAGTAAAAATGCATGTGTTTCTTTTAGTTTTAATTTTGAAGAATAGAATAATTACATTGTTGAAGAAGAATTACATTATTGTTAAAAAAGAATTCCAAACATCAATATGTCTCTAATTTGACTTTTTTTTTTAACTAAAATATTGCTTTTAAATTTAATGTTAAAGAATAAAATGATCATGGCGAATTTCTATGTGTTTGTAAAATGTTATTTTTTAACAATCCATCTTCTTTTAGAAATAAAGTTGAAGAATATATTAACCATTGTTTGCTTTTTTAACTGTCCGTTTTCTTTTAGTTTTAATGTTAAAGAATGTAATATTTATGATAAATATCAATGCATTTGTAATTTTTCTTCTTCTCAATAATCTACCAATAATTTAATTTACATAATAAAAATATGATCTAATTTTTTTCGGCAATTGTTTCTTTCTCAATGGTGAAGAAAAAATAATCATGCGAAAAAACTAACTAACGTTAAAACCAGCGTAGAAAACAAGAAACATGTTGCAATGATGTTAAAGAAAGATAAAAATCACACTTAAAAACCACGCATATGATGATAATTAAAAAAAAAGACCAGCGTTAAGAACCAAAAATATATTTTAAATATGATATTTTTAGACAAAAATGAATTTCAAATATGTGCTAGCTGCCTTTGGCGACCAGCTTCGTCACATTTCAAAATTATCTTGTATAACAAATAATTTTTAACTGTTACCAAGCCGAATGCAAAGCGCAACTATATTTGAATATTCTAATTCTTCAAATCCCTCTCCAATCTTTAATTAGTTTTAAACCTTACACCATAATTTGTTTAGTTATCTTTAATTAGTTTTGAACAATATATTAATCAAATTTTTTCACTATCAAGGTTTCACCCGCGGCTTTGTCAGGGATTAACTGAACTGAGCTTAAGTACTTATTACTATTTTAACTACTTTTAAGAGATGTTGCTATTGCCAAAAATCTTAATGTATTGAATTTCAGTAATAAGTTTAAATCACACAAACCCCCCAACCATAAGTAAGAGTTCGGGATAGTTCAGCGTAGTAGGCAACAAAAGTATTAAAATTATTTCTGTATCAGTCTTGAGACAAGATCGATAACTCACCCCGAATGCTTCATTACGTACTACTTCCTCGCGCACCTCTTGAGTTATAATTCGACTATCATACAATTTATATACACTATGAACCTAAATAATTACTTAACTAAGCCTTTATTTCTATAAAAATTCAACATTATTCTAAATAATTACTTAACGTATAACTAAGTAACCAATGCCACTTAAATTATTACTCAAGGCAACCTAACAAAATGAATAGTAAATGTAGTTTTGCCAATAGATAAAGTAGTAGTACCCGTTTTTATATTATCACATTATATATATATATATATAT